ATGTAGTCGCATTTCTATAGATGCTTCTGTAATGAATTGGACCCCAAAGTCTGAAAGGTGATTGAGGGTCCAAGACTTAAAATGTTACTGAAATCTTTTGTTCTCCCGGTGTTAACATCTTTCTGACTCCTAGTGTAAGTTAGCACTAGCACTTTATAGTAAGCTGTTCTAGCTTGCTAAATTCACATTAATTGCTGATACAGAGATAACTAATAGGAGTGACATGTATTTAAATAGTCATAGAAGTTACTGCAAAGTCACTTCAGAAATTAGAGTGTTTTATGTGGATATTTGTGGATAAATTGATTGCATCTGATCATGCACTTAAGCTTTCCCAGAAGAGTCTTTTGGAGCTATTTGAAGAAAGAAAGTCACTTTTTCCCCCCCTCCCTCTTACGGCGCTTGTAACAGTGTTGTCCTTTCTCTAAGTGACAGTTTGCTGTCTGTGTGGACAGTTTGCTATCCGTGGTGTTTATCCTGTCTTAGAGACCGTAAGTTGAAGTACTGAGTTTATACCACATCCATCCGTTTTCTTTAAGTGCATATCTTAAATTATACTAGGGCCTTATTTTTCACATATGCTCAGTGCAACAGTGGAATGATGTATATTCACTGCTTCTTGAGGTCTGGTTCTAGGGTCTCAAAGCAGGTATCCATCAAATAAACAAACTAGCTGAAAGTCTGCTAAAAACCAGACTGAATTGACTTATCTGGTATCCCATGGAAACACAGCAGGAAGGATGTGGGTAAAATCAAACCCTCCAAGTTATCTTTAAACTTTATCAGCTGATTACTTTTCATCTTGCCTTTGCTGATGTCCATCTCACCCCTGTTGGGAGGTCTTGTTGGTTTTGAATTTTGTACTTTTGAGGAAAATCCTCCCCGCCGGGTCTCTTCCAAATAATTCATTCAATTATAAAAATAGTTCAGACGTGTATAATATTCTCTGTCCGGGTAACTTAAGCTGTTTTGTAAATGTGATTCTGCAATAACACTGATTTAAAAAAATATTGGAAAGATGGACGACAGATGTTCCGTGAAAAATTATGAATGACTCAACTGGTTTTGTATTGTTTTTACTGAGTTTCCATACAGGACTGACATAACTGTATAATATATTAATCATAACTGTAGCTTGAGGTATTTGTTGCATTATTTCTTGATAACACTGAAATAATCTATAGTGCCACATGTGTTTTAATACAGGATATATGGCAATGTAATCGGTAGCAGATAAGCTACAGAGAGTAACAGTCAGCAAAGATGTTATACTGAGGGACATGGTTTAGTGAAAATGTTGATGACAGGTGGGTGGTTGGCCTGGATGATCTTAGAGGTCTTTTCCAACCTCGGTGACTCTATGCTTTTGTAGTTGCTTTAGCAGAAACCCTGTGTTGAGCGGTGCTTTGGATTCCTTGTGCCATAGAAGCCAAGGACTTCACAGCCCTTCTTGTAGCAACATAACTGGTAACCTCTGTGCTCTCTTGTGTGCCCTACTTTTAGGTACTGCCTAGCAGAATCTACAAATGTAAATTTTGTGAGGGGTGTCCCTGTACAAAACAAAAAGCAAAGGCTCACGTCTCACACTGCAGTCTGCAGTCTTTGCAATCTTTCTTTCAATGTAAGATCATACAACACCTGTGTGGAGGAGACAGATGCTGCCTTTCCCAGTGCCAGATAGACACTCCTGACTGAACTCATTTTAGCAGCATTAACAGCATATTTCAACTCCTCCCACTGACAAAAAAAAAGAAAAAAGAAGCCCACAAAGATTTATACAGTACTGGCTGCTCCACATCACTGAGATTCACCATGGAAAAACTGATTAAGGCAGGCATTTTGCTTGGAGTACTTCAGGTTCTAAAATAGTGATGGCTCTGAAGTAGTTTCCTGCCTTTGGGGTTTCATTAAACTTGTTTCTTAAGTGACTCAGGAAGTGCCAGATTCTTTTTAAGCGAATGATCAGAAAAACATCTGCTAGAAAAAAGGGAAAAATATTTTTTTTCTAAACTTCTATGAGCATCTAATATATTTAAAAAGCAGCAGAATGCTACTACTCCAATTTTCATATAAATTTTTATGAAAATTCCCTTTTCAGTAGGTTCTCGAAGAGCACTTTTAGTCAGGGTTGTTTCCTCTGTTAGACTTGGCACTTGAGAGCTGAGTTGTTTCTAGTGAAAGTGCTGCTGCAAGACAGAAAGACTGCCATGAAAGGTACCAGCGGTGAAGTGCAAAATGGGGCTCTTCACATGTCCCACAACAGCCTTCAGTTATGAAGAATACTCTAGCCTGACATCAGGAGAAACTTGCATCCCTTACAGAACATCTGTGTAGTTCTTCTTTCTCATTTGTCTTCTTTAGAACTGCGTTGAGTTTTGTGATGGAAGTTTTAAGCAATTCATGTATTGCTTGACATCTGAAATGTAAGTGCTTTCACAGCAAAAATTGTACAGTGCTGTGATCTGCCACAAGCAGTAGCTTCTGAGCATTTCTGGCCAAACATAGCATCACATGTGAGCTGCTCATTTTGCATGGTTGAGCAGTTCTTTTAATCTTTTCAATTTGCTCCTGGTTCTCATAGCAATCACCAAATAAAGAGATAATTGCTCTCAGAATTTCATAGCTGCAGAGATCAGAATCAGTCCCTGGTGCTACAGTCTGAGTCAAGCCCAAATAAAATATGGTTTTTTTAAACACCAAAAAAATAAACACGTAACAATGATTTGAATAACACTAGAGTCCTTGGTAATGGAATGATATTATAGAGAATTTCTAATAGAAATTACTGTCTTTGAGCATACATCCCCAACACCTGGATTGTCTGCATAGAAACATCCAAGTGTCCCAGATGTGTAAGGGGACACTTTGGCAACAGGAGGAAAGAATCTTTTAAAGCTGTAAAGTAAGACATAGATATATATGTAATATATACATAATATAACCTTTGGTATGGTAAAATCATCCTTGCCTTTGTCAAGCTGATAAACTCATTATGAGACTAACAATGTGAATGAGGCAAATAGTTTCATACTGCATATTTGAAAGCAATTGCAAGTACTTCTGATGCTTTGTGAAAGCCTAGTCTTTTTAAATTAGGCATTTAACGTAGACTCTACATCACTCCTGGAGAGAACCAGGTTGTCGAGTGAAGTTCATCAAATCTTCAGCATGCATGTGGTGGGCAGAATCTTGATGCTAAAAGAATATATTGACATCAGTTTTGGCATTTGATTCTTACTACCAGAAACACTAAGAAAAGTGCTGAAGAAGTGTTTCTTCTGAAGTTGTGTGTCATCCTTGATATCATGCAATCAAGGATAAGTATTTTTTCCAGCTATTTTGTTGTCATGTACTGGATTACACTCTAAAAGCATTAGTTGAAATTCACTCTAAAAATTCGGTTACTACTGACTGCAGATACTGTAAGTATTTTGTCCAGAGCAGTCTGCATGGGTAACTAACCTGCTGTGTGCACTGCTAGAGTGACTGTTTTGGATGTCTAAGATTGTCAGCGGTTATAATTGCCACAACTTCATGTGTTTTATTGTGGAATGATCCCATTTTGCTGTAGCTCCCTAAAGAACGAACTTCCACAGAACATTAGTGGCTGTAACATGTTATTTTAGTCACTGATTTTTAGTGTGGCTACAAGTATTCTCTCACTGTGTTAGCTGGAGATTATTTGTTTGATACTTTCACCATTCACTCATCACTACTGCTTACTTCATAACATCTACCACAGTGGTTAGAAAGCACCAAGGGCTTTTTATTTTGTTTTGTAATATTTTATTTTTTAACACAAACTTCAGTATTTTTGTCACTAGAGACATTATGCTCAGATTAAGAAACTACACTTTTAAACTGCTTGGTTACTAATTTAATAGCATTTCAGAGCCATGTGTTCCATATGAATTGTTGAAGAAATTCAAGAAATTGGTTCAAAGGGATAAAAATGGATGCTACTGACAAAATAACCGCTGTGCTGATCTTCTCACTGGTCTGCATGGAATACTATTTGTCTTTCTCAAACACGTGCATAGATCACTATGGATTTACTATCTTCTCAGAGATGTGAAAACAAGAAGAGTCCTGGGGAGGGGGAAAAAAACCTATCCTCACCCACATTTCTCATAGCACACTGGAAGAGAAGCATGAGCAGGGCTGGGTTACCACCGGCTGGTGGTCACAGTGAGGTGACCTCATTTGCTGTCATATAAAAATAAAATTAAAGTTGGTAATATGAAGCACAAGTAGCTGCACTTCCTATGGCTCTTGGCTGACATTTAATTCATGATTATCTCTGCCCAGCCAGATATGTATTTTCCAATCCAAACTTCACACTAGCCCAACAAGTGAATTGCAGCTTTTCTGCTGGGCTACCTCCACACTAGAAACTACCTCCAAAAAACCCAGAGTTTCCCTTTTTATACCCGAGTGTTGAGAGGGCCTGAGAACACCAAGCTACTTTGCGCCTCTTTTGGCAACAGAGAATCAAGAAATGATAGAATGAGGGCTCAGCACAGTACTGCCTCTGTACTAACATAATGAGAAGCTGCTGATGGTTAGAGTTAACAGAGCTGCAAAGGCACAATGCTGGAACAGCTTTCTGTATCCTGCAGGCTCTTTGAGCCTTTCCATTTACTCTTAACATACAAAAACAATCCATGTGTTGCCCTTGACATTACAACTTTGCCAAAGCCAAGAAGCTTTCCCAGCCTAACAGACACAGGTTCCATCTGAGCAGTATTGTACAGGCAATCCTTTAAAAAAAAAAAAAATTCGGGAGACCTGTTTGTGATCCTAGATTTAAATTCTCCCCACAGCGTGCACAATGATGCCCATCAGAATCGCTTGACTGAGTCAATTCAAGTCTATTCATTCCGCTGGCTGGGTGCCCATTCACACGGCAGCAAGCTATTTTCGCTGAGTTAAACTGCCAAGGAGAATAGGTTTAGAGAAATAATGGGCACAGTGTAGCAAGCCCCAGCTTCTCTGTAGAGTTTTGGTGGTTTTATTTTTTTGTTTTTTGATTTTGCAGTGCTTTATTAGCCCTACCTATCTTGTCTAAGAGATTTTGAAAAGATACCATTTTCCTGAAAATAGACACACTGCTGAAAGTCACAGAGTGACCAGTATTTATCTGGATGTCAGATAAATACTGCATCCCCAAAACTGCACAAATAACAGACATTTTAAAGGGGCAATAGAAACCCTTTCTGTGACATGTCCACCTTCTTCTACATGGCTTCTGTAAGCACAGATACGTTTGGCTGCCAAAAATATCACCTGCAAATGTAAGATTGCAGCCTCCTTTCATATGGTAACATAATGCTTCTCATATACTGCTCCCAACAGCTCCTATATCTCCTCCAGCATTACAATCATTTCAGATTTTCCTGCTGTAGATTGATGGATTTGTGGGAAAGCTAGTTGCAAGTGTTTTAGCTGCAGAAGCAGAAGTGCTGCCTAAGTGCACTGAGGCAGGGACTGTGGTTGCAACAGAGTTTCCTGCATAATGCCTTATTCAGCTTGGAAAGGGATACATCATCTACCTCGTGGTCAAGCTCCTGCACTGTTCCCATCTCAGCCTTAAATTGTGCTCAAAATTATATGGAGTTTCACCACAAGAGGGAGCAGAAGCTCTCCACGCAGGCTGTATGACAGAAAGAAACCATAATCGTTACAACCAATGGCTCTATTGAATCCCATATAAATTTCTACAGCTTTCCTTAACTTCAGTATAAAGGAGGCATTCAGGAAGACGTGCAGTTATTTCTAAGCGTACATTCTGCTAGATCTGTCCAGATACCAAAACTTCCTTTCAGGAAAATGTACATAAATAATTTCAAAATTAGATTTAGAAGTGCAGCCACTGCAGATACGTGCTTCACTGCAGAAGTGGGATTGGGCACATCATATGAGGAAAAAGCAAAACATCCTACAAGGTCAACAGTTACGTATAACAAAGTTTATCAACAATGCTTTTTACCCTTACAGAAAGAGAATTTGTGTAGACATGGATAGTTCCTATATTAACATATAGTACTCCCACAGGAGATTGTGACTTACAAAGTGTTATTTTATCCATAATCATTCCTATAGGCTTTTTCTTGGATCCGTAACACCATTCTTCGAGCATAGAAATCCCTGTATTCTTCAGGTAGTTCTTCAAGTGTTTTCAAGGCCCTGTCCAAGATCTGTATTGCCCTAGAGGCTGCTGTGGGGTCTTTATTTCCATAAGTGTCACTCTTGTCGTAGCATTCAGCAGGAAGGTGTTTCCAGAAGACATTCAGTGCCACTCCAAATTCCTCAGAAATTACATTGTGGAACCACATAGCTGTGAAAGAAAAATGTCTAAAATGAAAATTGCAATGTAAAACTTCCCTGTGACTCATGACAAGTGTCAGAATCACCCAAATTAATCCTACCTGAGGGAAAGCTTCCACTACTGTATTTACTATATTACAGCCAGGAACTATTTGTTACTTACCTGGGATAAATAACACATCTCCTGCTTCCAGATAACATTGATAGCGCTTGGCTTTCACAAAAAGTGGGTATTTCTCAAAGTCTGGGTTATCAACATCTAGCACCTCTGATTTGGTACCTAGAGAAATTTTCAGAAGTAACAAAAAAACAGAAACAAAGCATTAATACACTGCTGGAAATGGCAGTTCTTGAGTCCAGTTTAGTATTGTTTGTTGTTCTGTAGCTCGTCTAAAAGCCAGGCAAATCTGCTGGCACCTCTCATTTACTGAAGACGAATATTCTCTTGTCTGTATTTCTCCTGCAACTGCAGCCTTATTAACACTAAACGACACTTCCACTGACATATATAACATCATTTCAAAGCTGAACAGAGCGCAGTACTCCACAGTTAAGCGTTGAAGACAGAACCAAGTAAAGCTGCAGGGCTCATTTGCAGGTTTCCTAACTTGCATCACTAAAATTCTTGGCTTTGATCAAAGCAAACTGCATCGGAGGGACCAAATCGCTTCTCACAATTAAAGTTATCAGTTACAGATTGTTTTCCTACAGTGCAACACTTACAAAGTGGAAGGGCAACTATGAGCAAACAGAGCAAACTCTGAATGAGATGTGCGTGGCATGCATACCTGATAAATATAAATAAGGTACATCTCGAGGACTATACAGAACAACTCGTTTTCTACCTGTTACTTGGATTAAGAAGTTATCCATTACCTGAAATGAGCATAGAAAGAGATGTCAGCCAAAAGTTAAGAATGAAGAGTATTAAATCCCTCATATATAAGGACTAGCTAAAAGTTTCCACATAGTTAATCTAAAAAACGTAAGAATGTGAGCAACCTCATCCCTTAGCTGCAGAGTCTTTAAAAATAGTGCATTTGAAATAAAACAACATTGCTTTCCAACAACTTTACCTTTTTCCCTTGTACAGGAATCAAGTTCTTCCATCTTAAACCACAAGGTTTACCACTCTTTAGATACAGAAAACAGCAAAATATAATGCGAAATACATTTTGAGTTCTTTTTCAGTATTACCTCTACAACATTTTGCTGAGCTTCTGCTGATAAAGATTTTTTAAAATCTTATTCACAATGCAAAAAAACCTATTTTTCTTACAAATACATTTATCTGGAATTGCACTGTATGACATCAGAGGACCATCTTATTTGGAATCTACCACACTGCAGCAACAGACTGCCCAAATCACTGTACAGTTACCTATGAGAAGTTTGTCATTAACAGAACCTCGTCAACAGAGATGTGTAATTTAGTATCCCAACCCCACAATGCCATCTGCAACATTTGATGCTAACGATATTATTACCTACATCATAATGTGTCCATAGCTGCAATCCTGCTGAGCTGATGCGGAAGACACTAGAGAAAAACTGTTCCTTCTCAAAATACTCTGGAATCTGAACATCTTCTGCCAAAACAGGAAACTGTTTTCTGATATCTGCAATATCCTGAGTAAAAAAAGACAAAACTCTCAGAGAATCATTTATGCATGCTAAAATAAGGTGGCACCTTAGCATCATTTCCTGTCATGAGGAACATGGGGTCAGAACTTTTTTCAGCATTAGCAAATAAGTTCAGAAAACTATGCTTTTCAGTTGTCATTCTTTCAGCTCAGACTCAGCCACCAGTGGTAATAAAAACAGACAGAGCTGCTGTGAACCATGACTGCTAGCAATCACACTGAAAAAGTGATCAGAAATGCTTTTATATTAGATTACAGCAATGGCTAGAGAATAGAATATAAAGGATATACTTTTCATTGATCAGCCAAGTTTTTGTAACAGCAACTGTTTTGGACACTTAGGTTTAAATATTCTGATGTAAATCCACTCAGATTCCTGGACCAAGTGACCGTAAACAAATGTTATAGCTATACCACACAGCCAGGTGACAATAAAAATTGCAGCCTCAATATCAGAACTGCAGTCTCAAGTAACTCACCTTCCTAACATCTTCACCCACTGATCGCAAATAGTACTTCTCATCCTGTAGATAATACACAAAGATAATTGTTCTGGTTTTAATATGAGTTAGAAATACACTTAAGAGCCTACGTTTTTTCATTAATCCAATGTAGGCCTGTAGTAAAATATACAAATAGATTCACAAATTCAGCTACTTTGTTATACTTTACTGCTCCCTGCAGTTCATCTCAACAAATGGGAAATGTAAATTAAGTGAGGAGTAAAGTGGGAGACTTGTCAGCTGCTTCAGCATTGCTTTTCTGAATTCAAAGGAAACGCAGATTACAACTTACATTCTTCAGAACATTGATGTTGGAAGCTATTTCAATTGGCTTCAAATCATATGGCATCCTATGTAGCATAAGCAGTGAAAAGCAAATTTGCATTTAGAACTGTTTGCTTGCTAATTATAATTATCTGAAAAATCCAATTTGAACATTGTTGCACAAAGATTGCCATAAGTTTGCTACTCAAAAAATTTATTACAATAAATCTGTGTTTGTATTTTGATAGCAGATGTAATCAAACTCACGCATCTTGATGTTTTCTTATTAAACACCTGAAGTACACAAGTATTCTAAAGCAAGGCTAGATTTCTCAATTTCTTGATGGAGCTTTTGCTGCTGTCAGTTAGGTTCTGATAGCAGAAAAAGGACCAGCGGAGTTAACCATACCATATGCACGCAGAATAATTTCCACGGAAAGAATTCTCTTCCCTCACATTTTTCCCTTGGCTCCAAGCCACTCAAAATAGTTAACTCTACAATCCAGTGCTTTAGTGGACTAAGACTTCAAATTAATTTATTTTTTCCCCTCCAAGTACAAAACAGAGAAGAAGCTGTGACACCAAGGAAGTTACCTCAGAAAGAAAGTAGTCTTTGTGTTTGACTTCAGCTGCCCTTCGTACAAATACATCAAAAGGCAGAGTTCTGAAATATAAACATGGAAATTCATACAGTCAACGTAACAACACGTGATCTAAGTGCAAGTCGTAAAATCATAAGCTTTCTCACCTTATCTAGTGTAACTGAAAGTGCAACATGTCTTTTATTTATTAATTTATGTTATTTAACAAAGTGACTAACCAGTATTTGCAGTGAATGTTTGAAGAATTCTGCTGAGACAGAAATCCTGCATTTACAAACTTCTCTGCTTTAGTAAACTGTCCCCAGTACAGCCCCAAGCAAGCAAATCCAACAGCCACTGAAGTCAACAAGAAAAACACAAGTTCTGACTTTGGTTGAACATCTGTATCCTGTCCACTTACAAATTCACTGCGGAAAAATGAGAGCACAGCTCTGGAACAGATTAAAGCATACTGGAAGCACACTGGTGCTGCCCTTGCTGACCATCGTCTTCTCATCCCCTACACTACACTAGCACCAGCACTCCTCTGAGCTATGGCGAACCTGCTCATAAAGTCAAAACAGCAGAAGAACATCCAGATTTCTGCACTTCCAGATCCAATACAAAGGCAAGGCAGCAGCATGATGCTGACAATGGAACTGCAGTAACACTTGTAGCATCAGTTCTGAATTGTGGAACTTCACATTAAGACTTTAGTGTTTCTGGTTTTTTGAGTTCTACTTATTTCATTTTAATTCTACTTGTTTAGTTCTACGTCATTTCAAGTTTTCACAGTTGCTTCTGAAAGTGACAAACATCTGCCTCTAAATACAAGAGATTTGGGATGGAAGTACCTATACACAAAGTTCTTACTGAGGAAATCCATCTGTGGTACTGCAGAAACATGGATCTTTACTTCCTTAGATCCTGCAGCTTGGCTCAGGTAATCTACTGTCCATTTGGTTGTGCAAGGGCCCAGCTCCATTCCCTTCAGCACAACTGGCTCTCTCTAAGGAGGGAGAGAAAGAGAAACAATAGCAGAGAATGATGTTTGCATCCAATGGTGCTGATGGGGAACAGAATTTTTTCAATTTGCCATCTGAAATCTGGGAAGAAAACAGTCTTACTCCAACCTAGTGTCAGGTAAACTAAGTACACGTGAACAGCTGTGAGTATCAGGACCTGCAACAGTGTCACAAACAAACTGCTTGCAACTGAACAACGTGAATGCTGAACGCTCAGCAAAATGTGGGAGATCACAGGACTGCTTCTGTAGTTCCTGTTTTCCCAGCTGGATCAGGAAGGTTATGGAGAGGCAACAACAGCATTAACAGCCGGTGTGTTCTGAGACCACTGAGGAATCTAGCTGGCCTAAAGAACAGCTGCACTCATTCCCGTGCATTGGAGGTATGGACTGCAATCCGTAATAGCGGTGTATGTTCTCGTGAAAGCAACTCTTCCCTCTCGCACTGAGGCTCCTCGATGCCGATACCCACAAATAGATTTGGTCCATTGTACACATAAAGCCCAATAGAGAGGGTCTTTTTCATTCAGTCAGAACCTCAGAGGGAAAAGAAAGAAGAAAGAAAAAAAAGGAGTCGTAGTGACAATACGACAGAAAGCAATCGCACAGTTTATAACCGGCAATAAATACAATCCAGCCACCAGCGGCGTGTCAGACCTCTGCAGCAACGCGGGACTGAGCCTTGACTCAGGCATCCGTGTTCAGGAGGGCTGCACGACGCCCGCCGCCTGAGAAGGCTTCGCTGGAACCCCAGCCGCGCCCCCGGCATCCCGCTCCCGCCGCGCCCGAGTCCGTACCCGAGGATAGACGTCCCGCAGGAAGCGCTCCCGCGTCACGCCGTCCAGGCTCGGCACCCGCACCACGGCCTGCTCGCACCGCTCCATAACCCCTGCCCCGTCGTCCGCCGCTCCGCCGGGAAACGAGAACCGAGCGGAAGCGTTCCCCGCCTCCTGCCGCCCGGCGAGGGCCAGGAGACGGAGCCCTCTTTTCCGCTCCGGGAGGTCGGCTCTGCGGGGAGACGACGGACGGCCCGGCGAGCCGGTACGGCGCGGTGCCGCTGCCCTCCGCAGCACGGCGGAACCGGAGGCGCGGGGCGTGTTTCCGGCGGAGCGACGCTCCAGCGGACGTGCCGGGGTCGGGGGGCACCGCCGCCATGATGGCGCTGCGCGCTGCTCCCCGGCGCGCACGGTGGCTGGCGGGCGCGCTCCTGGCGCCAGGGGCGGCCCGCGCAGCCCCACTCGCAGCGCGCGTCCCGGATCCGTTGCCGCCGGGCCCCCTCCCCGCGCTCCCCGCCGTGCGTTTCGCCAGCAGCGGGACGCAGGGGACCGAGGGAGAGGGGCCGCAGCGGCGGGTGGTGGTGGTGCGCATCACCAACCCCCTGGCCTGGCTCCGTACCCGCTTCTACTACCTGCTCATCCGCCTCTACTTCGACTCGGAGTTCAGCATCGAAGAGTTCACGCGCGGCGCCAAGCAGGTGAGACCCGGCGCGCCGGCCGGTGGCTCTGGGTTTAATTAAACAGCGGCGCAGAGCGGAGGGCGTTCAAGTGCCTGGGGACGCGAGAGGGAGCCGGGCAGAAGCACACTGCGCTGTTTTACTTTGCCCTTCTTTTCTCGTTAATTTTTACGCGCGGTAAAAAGCTCAAAGCACGCTGTCAGCATTTCGCGTGTGCGCCGTTTGGACACGCTGAAGGGCCGCTGCATGTGGCGCTGCCTACAGAACTCAGGAAGATAGGAAGCTGTGTGCCTCCGTGGTTTTGGGACTACAGTAGATTCAAAACCAAATTATTTTAGTCCCGAGCATCTGTTTTGAGTGGGACTGGGAGGTGGCCTTGGAAGGGGTTGGGCAATGAGGCAGTCAGGGCAGAGAACATGGATTGTTTGAATTGCTCAAAAAAAGAGTAAAAACAGCTGCAGGCCATTGTGATGTTTTCACAGAAGGGCACTTGTTTGCCTGTTACCAAAACTTGTGCTTTAAATGAGAATGGGAAGAACTCTTAGTCTTTTACCAGTTAACAGAATCCCTTTTTTAATGCTGGAATGGTTTTGTTCCAGTGGTGATATACCCTGTAAACGTTGAAGTCTTAAATTGTACAATGTTTAGGTAGCTTGTCCTATAACACTGTATTTGCCCAAAGAGTAAGCAAACCCCAAATTATTTATGTATTTCTCTTTTATTTCTGCAGGCCTTTTCCGTTGTTTCACAGCTGCTGTCTCAGCGAAAACTTGACCTGCTGGATGGCCTGGTTTCAACAGAGGTAAATACTTCCATCTCTATTTCTGCCAGTTGATGTTTTCTATTATGAAATAAAATTATGATGAAAAAAACGTTCTTGCCACTAAACATAGGGACCAGTTGCCAAAAGGATTTCTGGTGTACCTGTCATTTATGAATTCCAAATTGCTGATGTTGTCTTGGCCTTCCCCAGGGACAGAGGTAGCATATGCATCAGTCAAGAGGAGGAGGTGCTTCAGGGCTGCATGTGCCCTGTTCCTGGATTTCAGCTTGGTTTGTGCTATTACCACCAATGCCTTTGCTACACAATTTTTGGCACAGTTATAGTGCATCCCTGCTGGATGCACCACATATCTTACCTCCTCTCTGAGCAGAGTTGGCAATAGGCTGTAATTTTTTTTCTACTGATACTTTGAAAAAGCATCTCCTTTACCTCTGTTCATCTTAAATTCTTCAGGTGATTGGGGTAGCTCATGATCAGAGTGTGCAGGAGTCAAGACTGATACTGCACTACTGTCTTGCTCTGCCCGGTGAAATTCATACTTGCCATGCACTGGAAGCTAATGTTCTCTGGTAAAGATGCACATACTTCCATGCAATCTCTGAATTTGATTTTCAAAAGTGGTAGTTCAGGTTAGGATTAAAAACTGAATATGAGTTAAAGGTGTGCTACATGACTTAGTCTTTCCTTGTGATGCCTCCTTTTGTGGTGCTTGAGGTGATGCTTCTGTTCTGCTAGTGCACCACATCCTTTCTACGTAACACAGCTGTGTACATCTTACGATGCTCAGAAGCTACAACTGTGACTGCAATCTGTAAGTTAAGTCCTAAAGGAATGGTTTTCCACTCTTTACTGATTGGCAAATGTCTAAACATTTTCCAGTGGGAATGTGGATCCTGAAATGGCAAAGTTAAACTTAGTGGTAATGGAACTGATTTACAAAGAAATTGGTGAGAACTGAGAAATGATTGAATCAAAACGTAAGGAATGTGCATATAGCGAAGTCAGCAGTGCGAAGGCAGAGTAAGTATCTTTGTGGAAGCAAACTGAACTGGTATTTTCTGGACTTATGCATTGCTATGCAGCTCCTGCTTTGACAGTATTTTTTCTAAACATTTTCATCAAATTGAGTATTAAATGGATCTTGTTTAGTATGGTTAAATAGGGCTTGGGAGTGCCCAGTGCTTTGCTCATTCTTGCTGTATGTTTTACAATGTTAAACAAATGTTATTCCAATATAGCTCATTTTATTAACTGTTATAGATAATAAGGTTGCTATTTCAGCTTCCTAATGAAGAACTAAGCATAAGTTTTTCTGAACTTAGGTACTTCAGATGTTGAAGGAAAAGATTTCTTCACTTTCTGAGAACCATAGGGATGCTTTAGCAGCTGACATGGATGCAATCATGTACACAACAGAAGGAGATGTTCGCATTTACTATGATGATGATGGTATGCTACAATTCTAAAACATTTTTGCAATGGGTGGTCTTTTTCCTGGCTTTGCTCTCTGTACAAGTGGGTTTTCTTAATGTTTTTCCTTTCTTACTCTTTTGCTTGTACTTCTGTACATAGTTCCCTAATTTCCTTTTAAACCAGAACTCAATACTGTTCATAAATTATGGTATTGTTTTGACTTCTTTGTAGGTTTTGTTCATTCCTTTTTCATGATTTTGACTTCATGTTGTTAGTCCTTAATCTCAAACCACTCGAGCAGTGACTGTTCTATATGCAGAAGACTGATTGCTTTAGCAATGAAAATACATACATTCCAGGAATAGTAATTAAAGCTGAAAAATGAAAGACATTTTACTGTCTTCGCTACTATTCTGCTTTCATGGGTGTATAATCAATGGATATCAAGATGTTACAATCACAAAATAAACAAGAGAGTTAAACAGAGTGGACTATGATAACAAAAGAGAATAAACAGAAGGCTTACCTTTATGCTGGGCTCAGCACAAAACACCAGAAGAAGGGATCTCCAGACAAGATCCTTCCCCACTGGTAGCCAGCTCTTAAATAGGTCTAGGAGGAGTGGAGCCTGGCTCCTCCCCTTCCTGCAGCACAGGTGAATTGCCTTCACCTGTGCTCCTGTGGCTGACTTATGGCTCACCTCAGGTGATCAATCAGAGGTTTAGGCTGTGACTCAGCAGCTCCCATATGCATGGGGGTATAGTTATAGAACACTGGTTATTTTTTTAAGCTGGTGTTAACCTCAAACAAGTTTTCTTTTGTTTAAATACTAATATTGCATGCTATCTTCTGTCAAACGCAGTTGAGGTGAGACTTGGAATCAGAATTTCAGATTTTCAAACCAAGTGAGCTTTTTTTCTTGCTTTTGAAGGTAAAGATTTTTTTTTTCCCTGTTCACTTCTGAAATTTAACTCTCTTACTTTTTTTGTAGTATGAATAGTTGGCTTTTGACCTTGTGATAGCCAACTTTTTTATACAGTTAGATTGTATACGTTCTCAAGAGGTAAGTAAAGCTCATAAATTGCATACCTTTCTCCTGATTGTATTTTTGTTACTGCTTAACAACACAAATACTGCTTTAAACAGCTTTATTGTTAATTATTCTGTTATACATTTATTCATAAACATGAAGTCTACGTTATGCTTTATTTCCAACAGGAAGAAAGTTTGTTAGTATCCTGATGCGTTTCTGGTATCTGAATAGTGCTAACCTACCTGATGAAGTACCAGGTGAAACCAAAGTCTTCCAGATTGTGTTTGGAGATGAAAGCACAAAGGAAAAAAGACATATTTTAACAGCAAACTATGAGTAAGTTTCCTTGCCCCTTGTATGCTAGCTGTGTGGAAACTAGTTTGGAATTGAAAATGTGTGTTGTGTCAGTGCAGAACACGTAGTAAGTACCTAAAGCGTGTAAGCTATTAATATATTTTTTCCTCTTTGGTGCATAAGCATCGTTCTGTGAGGTTTCATAGGAATAATACAGAAGTGAAGTATTTCTTTCCTGAGTTTCTTCCTTGTTGATATTAGTATCTCTTTAAAGATTAAGTAAATTTAATGACACTTTGATTACTTTGTTGTCTTTTCCAGGTTCCAAAGGGAATTCACAGAAGGAGCAAAACCGGACTGGACAATTACACGAATTGAACATCCAAAGCTATTAGAATAAATGCCTTCTGCAGAATCTTTATGTTATAAATGTTCTGTTGTTACAAATATCAGACGTTTTGGTCTATTTTTTTTTCTCTCTTTTCCAAAAGGAGGGAAGAACTTTGTATGTTTGATTTTCCCAAAATTGTTTCTGAAGTTTACACTATGCTGAAACTTTGCAATAAAGCCTTTTCCATGGAACAGGCTGGTACAGATTTAATTGGTACTTGTGCTCATCCAAGGCATTTAGATGGCACATTTTCACAAAGGCCAGTATAATGGGGATGCTTACTTCTTGTATTCTGAGAAGAAAGAAATGGTACTACAACACTTTCATGGCTGCTGACCCTTCTAAATTACCTTCATATATTTTTTTCCCCAGGGACTGTGCAGTATGTAACTGAATAATATGCAAGATGAAATAGCAGTAGATGGACTTCTTAGATTGTCTATCTTCAACAGTTCAGTTTGAGGTAATGTCATTATTGAATGTATTTGAGATTAGGAAACTTAGAGCCATTATTAGTGTTTGGTGTGAGATTGGAATTAAAAAAATCTCGTTAACATCACCCTGGGAAAGTGGATTGTAGATTTTTTTTTTATAATAAAAATGATGTTCCTTTCAATTCAGTAACTCA